ATTGGGATCATGTTCAATGAATGACAGCAACTTACTTGGGAGGATAGACTACCTCTAAGAGTTATGGAATTTCCTGCTTGTGCTTCATAAGTGATTGCTTATTAGTAAGCTCAATCTTTCCAGATTGCTGCATGAAGATGTGCACCAGGAAGGCATATTTGGAATTTGTCTGTCTGTCTACCTATATCGCCTTTTTCTAATATACATGCTCTTTTGGAACAGAGTGTTTATGGGAACTTGGCCATAATGACCTGATGTGAACAAACAACTATATAATGTGCTGTTTGACGTCCTTCTTGGACAAAGCTACTTCCATCAGTGAACTACATCTCAGAGTCTTGAAGAGGCAGGTTTCTGATATCCTGCGTGCTTATGGATCAGCTATGAGGGAGTTGGGAGTTTTGGAAGTATTTTATTATCTGTCTTCTCACATTTCTTTCTTTCTTTCATTTTTTCTTCCTTTCTGTATTGAGTTTGTAGGAGTATCACAGTGGAATGACTTTGTTGCTATTATGGAGATTGTGGAATTCAGTAAACCATAGAGGCTACCTGCCCTTTATGTGGTGCCACCAAGGGTGGGGCACCCTTAATCCAAGCAGCATACACCCTAGATCAGCAAACTCCAAAAAGCCCTGCCTCTGAATGAGGGAGTATTTCCAGATACAAGCTATAACAGTCTGCAACTTGAAGCTGCTATGTAGAAGGAGTCACTTTTGGAGTGAAACACTGTGCTAATTTTGCAGTTTACAATAATTGCGTTTTTTTTTTCCTTGGGGCTAGACTGCCAGCCTGGTCTGTTTGTTCTCCCTGGAACTGTCCACCTTCAGGTCTTGCCTTGGGTTGGTGGAGACAGATCACCATCTTCATGAGCTGGGGTGAGGTTTCCAGACGGCTTTGTCCTTTTCTCTGTATTGTGCTTCATTTCTCCAGCGTCTCAGTAGTTTCTAGTTTTCCTATCATCTCTCTCCCAATTCCTGGGGATCTACTTCTGCTTTTGTCTTCACCAAGTTTTGTTTTCCAGACAGCTCCATTCCAGAACCCAGAGAAGCTGTGTTCTGCAGCTAACTGCTACTCCATCTTGTTTTCTCCCTTGCCTCCCTTTTTAGTCTTTCCTTTTTTATGTTGTCTAGTTCACTGTCTGCTTTCTTTTCTTTTAAATTTTATTGTCATTTTGCTTTTTATTAGTCTAAGGAAATTGACTAAATTTTCTATAAAAATATCTTCCCCTTTCCAACCTCAATTCGTTACCTTTTACAGGGAATGATACAAAATTGAGCTAATATCTAAATTAAAAAGTATTACAGTAAAAACATTGTTTTACTCCTTCTCACTTCAATCACAGTTATGCCATCATTCTTCCCATTTTCTGGATCAGCTCTGGAATTATTTCTTCTTGAGTGTCTTTAGTCGTGCTGTTATGGCTGATTCAATATCCTGAATTGATTCCAAACACGTACCTTTCATAGTTCTTGTAACTCTGGGGTAGAACCAGATGTCACATTGTGCCAGATCCAGTGAATAAGATGGATGAAGACACGGTATAATTCTTTTTTTGAGTCAGAGTCTCACTCTGTAGTTCAGACTGGCCTTAAACTCACTCTGTAGGCCAGGCTGGGCTAAAATCCCAGTGATCCTCCTGCCTCAGCCTCCTGAGTGCTGATTACAGGCATGCACTACCATGGCTGGCTACGTTATTGTAATGTTTTAAGCACTTGCTTTTCTGTGGGGGGTAGCACCTGACAATGACATTCAGTGAATTTTTTAATCATATCTTACGAAAACACAAATGAAAGAGGACTTGTAGAATGGCTTCAGAAAGTGTCAAGAATAATGGGTTGAGTGTGTTTGAAGTGAAGGGAGTCTTTTGAAGGTGATTAATGGTGGTATGTCTTTTACTACAATACATTTAAAAATAATCAAGCATTCACCGTATATTCTGACCATAAGTCATATACACCTAGGGCTTAGTGGGAGTGATGCTTCCTCACCTGCCCTGGACTCTCAAGAGTAGGAAGCAGGTGGGAGGTGGGGCAGGTTGGAGGGCTTTGCAGTCCACTCCTGGGGAGGGGAGGGTGAGACAGTAGAGGGTTTGGTAAGTTCCTCAGCCACCTTTGATTTTATATTTTGGTTTTGGAGGTGACAACCTGGACTTGGAGGGGTCTCCCCACTGGAGGGGCAGGTGGGCAGTTTCAGAGGAAGGGATGTTGCTTCTGTACCACTGGGGCTGTTCTCAGTGGTCTACTAGATCAGAACTCAGTCCACCATCCAGGCTCACGGGGGATAGAGATCAGAGGGAATGTTTTAAAGTGCAATAACACCTTCCGCCTTGTTGTTTGTCTTTTTAAATTTTCTCTCCTTAGAAACAAGCAGTCAGAAAATAATTCTTTACATTTTTTTTCTGGAGTAGAAGACAACAGAGTGATCTCTTCCTCTTAATAATGTTCAGGTAAATTAACTTTGAAAGGATTGTACATTTAAGAAAAGAATTGAGGGAGTAGGGGATTTAGCTCAGTGGTTCCACTGCCTGCCTTGCAAGCACAAGGAGTTTGATCCTTGGCACTGAAAGAAAAGGATTGAATATTTTGCATTGACTGTCATATTTTAGAACCCCCAATTTGTTCATAAATTTACATTAACTATTATTTTATGGCTTAAGCATTTATCTGAACATGTTTAGAAGTCACTTGAGATAGGTAAAAGATAAGAAGCATTACATGTCTATATAAAGGAAAGTAAAATATTAACTTCATCAGCACTGGCATCATTATGTGTTGGCATGAAAACCATGGCTTAGTGAACAGTTTACCTCCAAAGCAGCTGGATGTGGTCCTGATGGGCCAGGAGAGGACAATGTCCATGTGCTTATCCTCTGCTGGTACTGTTCAGGCGTTACCGAAGACAGTCTGGCCTGTTCCTTGTCACTGGATCCTGCCTCCTTTCCCAATGTGGAAGGCAGAGGGCTGGGAATCAGGGTGAGATAAGCTTTGTGATTATTTCATAACTGAGGCACCTGAGAGTCCAAGGTCCCTTTCAGGCTTTTGCACAATTTCAGTTGTCTGGAGCTGGGGTGGGGGTGAGAAGCGGCTCTCTCCTGGCAGAGCTGGACCCTCCCTCACGAAGGGAGCACTGGATTACTGTTCTCAGGCGCCGGGCTCAAGCCTTTATCTCTGTTTGCAGTCATGACAATGAAATGGCACCCACAGAATTCAAGTAGTTCAGTTCCAGACACTTACTGGAGCTTAAATAAAGTTTTCTTTGTCTTTTCATAATATCTCTGGGCTTTGGGAAGTCTCTGTTTTGGTGAAGAATTGGAGGTGGCCTCAGAGATTGGGGGACATTTCCCTCTAAGTGGGGCCGGCCTTCAGCGGTCAGAAAACTTCCGGCTCCATTTTCTGCTGTTCTGACTGTGCTGCCTCCTTCCTGATAAAGGGAGCGATGTCCAGAGCATGGGATGCTGTCTGCCTGTGCTGCTTTGCAGGCTTTCACCTTAGATGGTGTGGGGAGCCTCGGAGGGTTTCTCTGCCGGCTGGGGGGCCTCACTGGGGACCCCAGTGTCAGAGTCTCCACAGAGGCGGCTGCAACGTGTGCCAGACTCTGCCTCCTCTCTGCTTTCCTGGGAACCACCTGAGCCCCGGCACTGGAGCCAGAGAGGATGAGAAGGGCTCTGGGTAAAGTCTGAGGGTGAATTGGGGGTTGGTTAAGGTTCGTGAGGCTCCGAACATTGCTAGTTGCTGTGCTTGGAGGCCCTAGAAGTCACGTCCTTTCACAGCTGGGAACCCAGAAGCAGGTAAGTAGGCTTTGAAAAGACCTGTGGGCCAAGAGGAGGAAACCAGGAGGCAGCTGGCCAGAGGGAGAGGCTGAGAGTGTGGTGGGCCTGGGACAGCAGGAGCAGGAATTGAACAATCTTGTTCTGGGAACATGCAGGACAACCTTAGTGAGGGACAGAAGGTTTTTTTTTTTGTACTGGTTATTGAACTCGGTCCTTGTGCTTGCAAGGCAGGCGGTGGGACCACTGAGCTAAACCCTTGGCTCCCATGTTTATTCATATGTTTTAACGACGCTTCTTTAGCATTTATTAGGACCAGGGCGTGTTCTAATGACACGCAGTGACAACAAATATAAATTCAAGTCATCCTCATTACCAGCTTTTTGGAGAAACTGGTACTGTGGCAACTTTGCAGATGAGTAAACCTAGGCCGAGAAGGTCACGCTGAGAGGCTGAGCCTGGAGGGCAGCCCGGATGTTGGTCTCTAGTGTTTTTCCTTCCACGAACCTCAGGCTGCCTCCTCCTACTTCACAGTAGGTGGTGTGGGGGCTTTTTTCTAACCAGGGCTCATTTATCTTTATGATTCTGCCGAGTGCCGGACTGTGTCCTGGGCCCAAAGCGCGAAGGAACTGGGCTGGGATTCAGGGTTAGGAGAACAAGAAACAGGTCAGGGAGCTGGGCATTTGTGATGGGCTCCACAGACTCTAATGCTTCCCAGGTGGCCCTGGTCACACTCAGGGAGCGGCAGGACAACACCCCAAGGGAGGTAACAGGTCCACACCAGAGGTAACCGGTCCGAGTGTGGCCTCTGTCCTGGAGGTCACCGGCGGTGAGAGACTGAAGCAGATGGACGGGTGGGGCCTGCCACAGGGACCCAGGTATAGAGGAAAGCAGGGCCTGGTTTCCCGGGCAGACGGCGCACTGTGGTCGTAATGGGATGAGAATCGGAGGACTGCTTCCTTCGCTGGCAAGCCAGGTAGTTCCCTCACCTGCAGTCCTCCCTGAAGGCCTGGGGGGAGCCACGTCAGTGATCTGTAGGCGTCAGGGTCCTCGTGAGCCCACCAGCCTGTTAGTATTCTGAGCCAATAGGAGTGCTTTGCTCTTGCAGGGAACTGACCTTGGCCCTGAGATCTGCTCTTTCCCCTGAGAGCCAGAGCCCCGGCCTGGCTCTGCCTCCTGCCTCCTCCTGCCGGTGATCTCTGCCTGCCCCACAGCGTCTCTCCAGGTCTGAGCCATGGGGGACTCCTGCCTCTGCCGCCTGTCCCTGCTTCTCCTTCTCCAGCTCCCTACCTGGGCATCCACAGGTGAGGGTGCCCTGTCTCTCCTCTTGTGTCTCCTCCTGAGCGGGCGGCACCACTCTCAGTCAGGACTGGATGAGATTTGTGGAATCTCTGAGTCTAAAAGGATCATGGCGCTCCCTTGTCATTCATTTTAATTAAAAATTAAGATAGATTACATCCTAAGCCATGAAATGAGAACATAGAATGTTTCCAAATGGCGCAGGACCTTGACAACTGTCAGTTTTTGGTCATTAAGAGGGAAAATATCGATACATGATGAATAATCTTCCACTTATTTTTATTCCCTTGCTTGTTGATTTGTAAACATTTATATGTTCTGTTCCCCAGATGTTAATGGAATATCGTCAGTGTGTTAGGTGCTAAACACATATTTGTTAGATAAACGAATCAGAGAGAATGTCATTATTATAAAGCTTCCTCCCTGGAAGGAGAGAGAGAAGAATAAACACCACAGACCGACAGGGTGGGGACATGAATGTGACAGGAAGTGCAGATGGGCAGGTGTGTGCAGTGGGGGGACAGGTAGGTGGGGCAGCAGTGCTGGGCGAGGCTGTCCATGAGGCGGGAGCACAGCTCTGGGAGGACAGTCCGGCCTTGGAGACCTGGGCACCAGTGTGGAGCTGCTGCGCACCTGGGGAGAAGAGCAGCCAGCGTTGGCTGGGGCAGAGGCAGCCAGGGGAGAGAAGCAGGGGCTGAGCTGCAAAGAAGTACCGGGGAGGAGGGAACTGGGGAGCCATGGGAGGACTCTGAGCAGAGTAGGGACGAGGCTTAGTAGTGAGAAGACTTACTGAGGATGAGGCTCAGTTTATTTGTGAAACGAATCATAGCTCTGGGGGTTGGGAGAGGACAGGTAGGTGTCCTCATCTCCTGCTTTATTCAGGGCAGAGATGAGTGTGCCATGCTCAGGTCAGACAGTACAGGGCTGTGCAGTGGAGCTCTGGAGGCCCGCTGTCCGCCAGGCCCCAGAAGGCCACAGGCACTGGCAGGTAGGAGGGCGGGCTTAGCACCCTTCTCGAACATGCGGTGACAGGGTGCCCTGTGCTCAGTCAGGGCAGGTATTTCGCGGATGTAGCCTTTGACTCTGTTTGAACACGCACATATATTTCAGTGGCGGGGGAATGTGAAACCACGCCATCGATTTAGGATTGAAAGTGGGGAGTTTTCTGGGTGACGCTAAGTGATCAAAGCGTGCTTGCTGATGGAGGCCTTGGTGTGCTCTGCGGCCAGTTTTCAGGTTTGTCCTGATACAGGCTGGGTTAGAGGTGGGATTCTCAAAGTGTGGTCCTGGGCCAACGGTGTCTATGCCCCTGGCATTTACTGAGTAAAAGAGACATGAACATGCGGTGACAGGGCGCCCTGTGCTCAGTCAGGGCAGGTATTTCGCGGATGTAGCCTTTGACTCTGTTTGAACACACACATATATTTCAGTGGCGGGGGAATGTGAACCCACGCCGTCGATTTAGGATTGAAAGTGGGGAGTTTTCTGGGTGACGCTAAGTGATCAAAGCATGCTTGCTGATGGAGGCCTTGGTGTGCTCTGTGGCCAGTTTTCAGGTTTGTCCTGATACAGGCTGGGTTAGAGGTGGGGTTCTCAAAGTGTGGTCCTGGGCCAACGGTGTCTATGCCCCTGGCATTTACTGAGTAAAAGAGACAAATGCACAGTGTTTTATTTATTTATTTGGTACCGGGGATCGAACTCTGGACCTCGCACTGGCGAGGCAGGCAGCAGAACCACTGAGCTAAATCCCCAGCCCTTAAATGCACACTGTTGATCCCACGCCAGATCCCTCAGCAGAAGCTGTGGGCAGGGGGCCCAGGGATCTGTGCTGTCCAAGGCGTCTTGGTGCTGACGTGCGTTCTCTGTTTGGGAACCACCGAGTTAGCATCATTCGTGGGATGGTCAGATTATACGGAAATGAGAGTACCCTCGCACTGGCGAGGCAGGCAGCAGAACCACTGAGCTAAATCCCCAGCCCTTAAATGCACATTGTTGATCCCACGCCAGATCCCTCAGCAGAAGCTGCGGGCAGGGGGCCCAGGGATCTGTGCTGTCCAAGGCGTCTTGGTGCTGACGTGTGTTCTGTTTGGGAACCACCGAGTTAGCATCATTCGTGGGATGGTCAGATTATACGGAAATGAGAGTCATCAGAGCTCAGTCCATCAGGCCCCTAGGCTCAGCTCGTGCAGCCCCTGCCCCAGCCTGCCTGGCCTTCCCGCCTGATGAGTGCATTCTCGGACCTCTGGCCCACGCCTCTCCAGCTTTCCCATTCCTTTGTCTGTGTCCACAGGGCAGTTCCGGGTGATCGGGCCCTCAGAGCCCATTGTGGCGGTGCTGGGTGGTGATGCCATGCTGCCCTGCTACGTGTTCCCAGCCACGAACGTGAGAAACATGGAGCTGAGGTGGTTCCGCACCACACTGGAAGAATCTGTGTTTGTCTATCGGAACCAGAGGGAGCGGAAGGACGAGCAGATGGCTGAGTATGCAGGGCGGACCTCCGTGGACTTTCTCGCCCACGGGGAGGCAGGAGCGGAAGGACGAGCAGATGGCTGAGTATGCGGGGCGGACCTCCGTGGACTTTCTCGCCCACGGGGAGGCGGCGGTGAACATCCACGACATCCGGGTTTCTGACAGCGGGACGTATACTTGCTTCTTCAAGACGGGAAGCTTCTTTGAAGAGGCCAACTTGGAACTGAAGGTGGCAGGTAGGTTACCTGGTCTCTGCTGTACCCTCCTCGGGGGTCCTGGATTCGGGAGGGGGGGCGGACCTCCGTGGACTTTCTCGCCCACGGGGAGGCGGCGGTGAACATCCACGACATCCGGGTTTCTGACAGCGGGACGTATACTTGCTTCTTCAAGACGGGAAGCTTCTTTGAAGAGGCCAACTTGGAACTGAAGGTGGCAGGTAGGTTACCTGGTCTCTGCTGTACCCTCCTCGGGGGTCCTGGATTCGGGAGGGATGTCAGGGTTATTTAATTTAAACTGGCACTTTGGGAGCGACGAATAGGTGCTTCACCCACGCATGCATTTAAAATACAAATGCGGGATAGAGGATTCCTCAAAGGTGTCAGGCCTGGTTCTGGGTACCAGAACGTATGAGTGGAACAGAGATGCCAACTCTGTAAATTTTCTGTGCCAGAGTGAGAGGTACAAAAACCACAACAAGTCAATGGGTAGACGATGTTAGAAGGTGGGAAAGGTGTCAGACAACAGACCAAGCGGAGAAGTGTGGGGTGGGGGGCAACTGCAGAGGCACACGAGGGCCCAGGAAGGTCCGAAGGGAGTAAGGGTTCAGCCACCCGTGAAGATCTGGGAACCCCGAGTTTCACGCAGAGGAAGCACGATCAGGAAACCCTCGAGACAGGAGCGCGACCGAGGTGTTCCGTGTACGAGGCCATCGTGATCGGTGGGAGGGTGATGCGAGGCGACCCTGCCGAAATAGAGTTCTTAGATCAGCTGCATCGGGGCGAGCCGGTGGGGGCAGACGCTGGAGCGGGCACGCGAGTCCCGCAGGTAAGGCCGAGAGCCCTGGAGCTGGCCGGACATGAGGTGAAAAGGCAGGGACCCCAGGACACGTTGGTGGTGACTAATCGCAGGTAACCAAGAGTCCCTGGGGCTGCGCGTGGCCCTGGTGGAAAGTCGGGGAGAAGCACGAGAAAGGAGGCAGAGAGCAAGGTGGATCCTAGATCAGCAAAGGCCTTTCGTGGCTCGGGTTGCGGTCGGAACGCAGAGCCGAGGAGGTGTTAAATACAGCCATGGCGAGAAGGCCGGACATGCAAGGCTTTCCGTGGAGCTGTGTAACACGGACACTTCCGGGTGTCTGGGCCCGAGGTGGCCTACACGGTACTCATAACTTCATTTTCACAGGGGTGGGCTCTGCCCCTCAAGTGTACATCCAGGGGCCGGAGGAGGAGAATAGAGTTCTTAGATCAGCTGCATCAGGGCGAGCCGGTGGGGCCGGACGCTGGAGCGGGCACACGAGTCCCGCAGGTAAGGCCGAGAGCCCTGGAGCTGGCCGGACATGAGGTGAAAAGGCAGGGACCCCAGGACACGTTGGTGGTGACTAATCGCAGGTAACCAAGAGTCCCTGGGGCTGCGCGTGGCCCTGGTGGAAAGTCGGGGAGAAGCACGAGAAAGGAGGCAGAGAGCAAGGTGGATCCTAGATCAGCAAAGGCCTTTCGTGGCTCGGGTTGCGGTCGGAACGCAGAGCCGAGGAGGTGTTAAATACAGCCATGGCGAGAAGGCCGGACATGCAAGGCTTTCCGTGGAGCTGTGTAACATGGACGCTTCCGGGTGTCTGGGCCCGAGGTGGCCTCCACGGTACCCATAACTTCATTTTCACAGGGGTGGGCTCTGCCCCTCAAGTGTACATCCAGGGGCCGGAGGAGGACGGTGTCCGCGTGGTATGCGCAGCCTCCGGGTGGTTCCCAAAGCCCCAGGTTCAGTGGAGAGACGTCAGTGGGAAGAAGATCCTGGCGTTCTCTGAGGCCCACACCCAAGACGCCGAGGAGCTGTTCAGTGTGGAGGCCACCCTGGTGGTGAGAGACAGCTCTGTGGGCAACGTGACTTGCTCCATCCTCAACCCCATCCTGGGCCAGGAGAGGGCCGCTGCCATTTTTATTCCAGGTCGGTACTGCTCCCCACCCCCAGCAGACCTGGGGAGGAGGCTTTAATTCCCAAGTGTGTTGGGGAGCTGTCCTGGGCTGTGGCCCTGAGCAGGTCTCTGCCTGGGCCCCAGAGCCCTTCTTCCCTCAGGCCTCTCCCTGGAAGCCAGCTTTTGCTGTAAGAGACGGCTGGGGGCAACGTGACTTGCTCCATCCTCAACCCCATCCTGGGCCAGGAGAGGGCCGTGGCCATTTTTATTCCAGGTCAGTACTGCTCCCCGCACCCAGCAGACCTGGGGAGGAGGCTTTAATTCCCGAGTGTGTTGGGGAGCTGTCCTGGGCTGTGGCCCTGAGCAGGTCTCTGCCTGGGCCCCAGAGCCCTTCTTCCCTCAGGCCTCTCCCTGGAAGCCAGCTTTTGCTGTGAGCCTGACTGTGATGGGGCTCCTACTCTTTGGTGCTGGCTGTTTTCTCCATAGAGAACATTCTGCAAAGCTGCAGATACTGCAGGAAAGGAAGCAGAAGAGGTTGGAGAAAGAGGAGGATAAGAAGACAAAAGAGCAGGCACTGAAGGAGAAGGGTAAGAGGTGGGCCAGGCTGGGCAGGGTTAGGAGAGGGTTGGACTGGGACAGACTGAGGGCCAGGGTTGGTGGATCTGGCTCCCCAGGAACCCGGGCACGGCGAGGGGGGCTTGTGTGGGTGTGGTGGTGACGCTTTTAGGGAAGAAAATTTTTTTCTCCTGTTTTTTCCCGATGCACAGTCTTTCCTCTCATGTTCTTTTTCCTGCTCTTTCAGATGAACTCCAGGCAGAACTTGGTGAGTCCTGCTTTCCCTCCTGAACTCTGTGTGTCCCTTAGTGGCAGATATCCTGGCTCCTGCATGTGTCTCTATCGTGTGTTGCTTTTCAGGTCAGAGGAAGGCAGCTTACCTGGCTGGTAAGTGACTCTGCTCATGTCCCTTGGCTCCTCCTCCCACCCATGCCCAGGTATCCCCGTCCTTGGTTCTGTCTGGGCCCAGATATGTGATGCTCTTCCCTGAGGGAGGCAGAACCCTGCCTCATGGCTCTGCCTGACCTGGAGGTCCTTCCCCACCCAGTGCTAGGGGACCTGGGTACTGCGCTGATCCCAGAGTGGCTCCTATGTTCTGGCTCTTATTTTGACCTACCCTGTGTTTCATATTATTGGCTTTATAGCCTTCAATATATGCGGCCTTTGACCTGCACCTGAAAGCCCAAGGCACACTGAGACTTCATTACTCCCTTCATAAAAATGAACGGGGTCCTTACATCCAGGGGTGCGACCTCCTGGCTCTTCCCTCAAATCACCGTCCAGGGTGTTTTTGTTTTTTTTCTCCGAGGCTCCTACAGGCCTAATAACTGGTGGGAAGGGCTGAGCTGCTGACCAGGTGGGAATGGAATGGAATGGACTCAGTGTATCCCCAACAATGTGGCTCATCACTGGAAATATTTTACCTGGGAAAGGTTGGGCACTTTACCCAGGAACGCCCCTCACACTGCTGTCACTTAATCATTCCTTATTTCTGGTAGTTTCCCAAATACATCTTTCTCAAAGAAAGGCTGGGTTAATGATGCTTCTGGACAATTATAGACTAATATATATTTTACTCCCTAGAGTCTTTTCACACATAATGCAATTATGATTCTTACTGGCAAAACTGAAGAAAGACAAAATATGAATTTAGGGTTTTGTTTTCGAGGCAGAGGAAGACATTTGACAGCCGAAAGTTCCGTAGCTAAGGGACAGTGGCAGGATGCAGTCCGTAATGGAACTTCCTTGTCTGTGTCCGTGGAACCCCCCAAGGTATCCCGCTTTCTCCCACAAGGAGGAGGCCTCTCCTGGCATCTCTCCTCCTGGGGTAGTGTCACCGACGACCGATGTAGAGCAGACCAGGGCCAGGAGCCCCTGCCGAGCAGGCTTATGTGGCGGGTGCATAATCACCGTGTGTTCCCTTCCAGCCTGGAGGAAGGCGCAGCTGTACGCAGGTGAGTGACTGAAGTTTCCTCTGGCCTGGCCTCCTCCATCTTCCATGGTGCTCCTTTCCTCTCAGTGCCTCCACCCTAGGATGAGATGGGCGTTCTGTTTGTCAGTGCTGTGTCCTCCATGGGAACACCACAGGGACTGTGGTTGGGATTATGGATCTGTCTCCATTAGGTCCCTTCCTGTGGGCCTAATGTCAAATCAGGGTTAGCAACACCTCCTGAAACTCTTGTGCACCCAACACGAGGACCTCACTGGGGAGAAGAGACTGCATGGAGCAGGGCGATGGCTGTTCAGAGCAGGAATTGCTGGTCTCTAGAAGGGTTCACACTTGACTGGTGGGACGCAGGTCTTCCTAAAGAGGTCCTTGGTTCTGTATGACTTTATTTTACCCTAAGTTCCTCCCCTGTTGCCTCAGTTCTAAGGCCGTGTTCCTTTCTGGAGGCTCTTGTCTTTTCCTGCTTCCAGAACCATTCCGTCGTTCCTCTTCTTCCATCTTCCAGACTAGCAACCATGCATGACTCGCTCCATTTCTGTGATTCTGTCTGTTTCTCTGACCACAGCCAAGGAAAATCTCTGCTTTCAGAGGTTCGTGTGATTAGTTTGGGCCACCTGGGTAATGCAGGATCATCTCCTGACCTCAGTCTCATTCTCAATCACATTTAAAAGTCTTCTAATCATGTATTTAGCATATTCACATGGACGTATTTGGGGGACTAACTTCCTGGGAGGTGCCCTGGAAGCTCTCAAGCTCTTCTGGAAATTCCTGGGGAAGGCAAATGCACACATATTTTTGGGCTCTCCCACATCTGTTGGGCTGTTTTCCCTCCCATTGGCCTATGAAATAGGAAGAGAAGTCACTAGTAACTGATCTCTCACTGGGTATATGTGTCTCCTGCTTTCAAGTTGTTTCTCTTCCATCCTAGAAGCCTCTCTGTTGCCTCTTATCCGGGCACGACTGTGTGATTGTGTATCCCGAGTTCCCTACACTTATGGTGTATAGTCATCTTAAAAATTTAGCTGTTAGTTCTTTGTGAATACATGGAGGTGTTGAAAAATTTGGTATCTGCAATTATATCACAAGAAAACCTCGGTTTCAGGATGGTTGCGCCTGGGACACGAGAAAGCACGATTTGATAGTGAAATACGAGTAACTACTTTTGTGCTTAGGGATATACCCAGAGTCTGGATCCCGATACATTAAGCTTCCCTTCCCCTACTGGGGATCATACCCAGGGCCTTCACTGAGTTACTTCCCCAGCTCTTTAAAAAAGTGTTTGGAGATAGGGTTTTGCTATATCTCTAAGTTGCGCAGGGTCACAATCCTGACAATCCTCTTGCCTCAGCCTCCCAGAGTTGGGATGTAAAGTTTTATGGTGTCATCTCCACGGAAAGGCCACCGCAGGAGTAAGAAATGTATACCTCAGGTGAATGTTTCCACGGTTCCCCGTTACTCTCACAGTACCGTGCTTCAGCAGGCTGGGTGACGCGCCGTCTCTGAACATCTGCGATGTGAAATGTGTGCTTTTCTTGTAGACTGGCGAAAGGAACAGTTCCAGGCTCGTGAGTGATTTCATGGCTTTTCTGTTTTTTGCTTTCTTTGCTGCCCCCATGGCTCTGGCCTCTCTTTAAGTTCTCTCTGGTGATATAAATTTCGGCACTATCAACTGTGTTGCGATGGGTGGCAGTTGATGGTCTCAGAGCTGGGGCTGCTTCTCAAGAACCTTGTGATTATCTGTCCTCAGATCAACATCTGGTTCCTTTTCCTTGGAGGCCATGACCTTGAGTCATCGGCTCAAACAGGGGCCTCTCCTCCCTCAGGCAGCTCAGTGGCTCTGAGGGGTGTGAATTGGGGTTGGCTCTGTGCCTTGCTTTTTGGGGACCTTGGATGACTGATAACCCTCTCTTCAGGGTCTGTCATCCTGGATCCAGGATCTGCCCACGCAAGCATTGACCTCTCTCCCGGAAAGACAAGTCTCACCTGGAAGGACTCCAGTGGGAGTGAAATCTGGAGTGTGCTGGGCCTGGAGGGCATCACATCCGGAAGATGGTACTGGGAGGTGCGGATTAGGAATGGAGACCACAGCGAGTGGACAGTGGGGATCTGCAGGGAAGATGTTGAAAGGACAGGCTGGTATATAGAGTCCTTGGGTAAGGGGTTCTGGGTTGTGAGATGGGGTAAACATGGGTATTTCACCGATGGTAAATGTGATACCGGGTTTCCTGTCAAACAGGAGTGCTGCAGGGTGGGGGTTTTCCTGGACTACAGTGAAGGGGATGTCTCCTTCTATGACATGGCAGAGGGGTCCCACATTTTCTCTTTACCTCAGGCTTCCTTTTCCGGGACTCTCTTTCCATATTTCAGCTTTAAAAGTGGATGTGGGTCTTTGGAGCTCCCTGCATCCCTTAACAATTCTTCTTTGGAGGAGACTCTGAGGCCCTCAGGGAAAGGACTCATCTCAGGCTCTGCTGTGGATGATGTTGCCCCAGGGGCAGACTTTCCCTTGCTCTCTGGCAGCCCGGAGCTGTGACCCCATGGACCCCTCATGTCCTTGACCCCTTCACTGTGGCTTTCCCTAGATCTGCACATCCGGGTTGCAAAAGCCCCTGAAGTAAAGACTGGCTGGCCCGGGAGCTCTATCTTCCTGCTCTGTGCTAAGACTCCCTGGTGTGTGGTTATGAGAGTCATCAGCTCCTATTTGGGTTAAATGACAGAAGATAAATGTTGGCTGTTGTTTGACCTGGTGTAGGGCAGGCTGACCCTAACTGTGTGTAGTTATAGTTATTAAATAGATGTTAAAGTGTACTTCATAGAGTTTTTCTATTGTTTGTATATAAAAATGGCTGAGGGCTGAATTATTGTGCAATCCATAGGGGAGCTCCCTCTGTAGGTCCTGAGGTTGAGGGCGGTGCCCAGATTTACTTTTGCAGATGTCGTCTATCTAATGGTGAAGGTTTGTCATCCACACATTTTAAGGGAAATGGGTGAGTGATGGAAATTTCAGAAGAGAGGAATCTAATACTCTGTGCCATATGCTTCTTCTTTTGGATGAATAGAACGTATCTGTGTTTCCAAAACTCAGTACAACTTTGTTACCAGCGAGGAAGGTGTTCTGTATTAACCCCTAAGCAGTTTGCCCTGAGTGTCACTTGGACAGGTGTCATTTCAACCAGCTGATTCTTGTTTGTACTAGATACTCTTATATATCTGTTTTATATAAATTATTTTTGCATCCTTTTTTATTTAGAATGCTGTATTCACCTTTGATGTTTGCTTCTAGTGAAATCTAATAATAAAGTCTGGTTATTTTCTTTTACTAATTTATGTTTATTTTATTTATGAAAAATAATAGTTTTGCTTCTGCTGAAACAAGTTCTGAACATGGGACATTATCTTATTACAGACAATTTTTATATTTATCCAGAACTCAATGATATTCTTTTACAATATAAAATGGACACATTTGGGACACAGAGACTGAATAGGAAGGAAATGCCAAGAGATCTCCAAAGAAAAAACAGAAAAAGGGAGAAATATTACATATCAGAGAGGAAAAGCCTGTTATGACATGAAAAGACAAAAAGACACCTTGTCAAGTACTCATAATACAGAAATGAGAGAACTTGAAAGAAAGCATGAAATTAAAAATTTCCAATAGTGGTCTTTGATTATAAATCTGTGGGCAGTGTGGACAGAGTTGATCAACATCTAACAAGCTGTCTTGTAATCAAAAAGCAAGGAAAAATCTTACACAATATTTATGCTCCTTATGGACCAAACAGTATGGAACTCATTTGTTATTTATTCAAAATAAGGTGGTTCAAAAATCCATTTATACTTAAGATTAGGTCTAATAGCCCAAATAATTGGAAAATACAGGATTGTGCAAAGTCTTTACCTTTACATTTAGTGGGTAGACATTTTATTGAATTATAACACCTACAGAAAACAATGAAAGGCCAAAATGCCTTGTGTAAAGTATGTTGTTCAAAGAAAGACAATAATGCAAAAAGAATTTGGAAAGAGACTAGATCCTACTGTCCAGACTGTAACATTGCATTGTACATTGAATGCTTTAGTAAATACCATACATAGAAAAAAATATTGCATACATTTGATAAAATTATCATTTTATACTTTCTTTGATGTTATCTTATGAAAATTAACAAAATTATGTAATTTCCAGTCATCCTGTATTTAGATAATTGGACCCATAAGAGGTTAATGCAAGGGATTAAGGAGAAGAGCTTGGATTCGCCTTTGTGTCAACAATTCGCTGGAGGAAAGAAGAGAGTTGCTAAGTAAGTACTAAGAAAGTAGAAGACTAAGATGCGGTGAAGAAGAGAGTTCTCAGGTGAGGATGAGTTGCAGAAAGCTTTGACCGTGAGCACTGATGGGCCCGATTCGTCAACCCTTTCCTCTTGGTGTTTCCTCACCCAGTGTTAAGGTTTGCTGGGAACCACAGCAAACAAAGACACAGAGCTATTGAGGACTCCGCAGACCCTGCCAGAAGTGAGGTGCGTTCAGGCTACCAAGTAAGGAGCTCTGAGCAGCTATCACGCTTGTGGAGGGTGAGAAGCACGGAATGGGAGATGGAAGAAAGAAGTTAGTGATGTTCGTTCTGGCCTTGTGACCCAGTACAGTAACTGAAGTAGTTTTGCATATTTTCCCTTTGATTATCATGTGTATGTGATTTTTTTTTTCTATATATCAACCATTTCTTTCTCTCTTCTTCTTCTTCTTCTTCTTCTTTTTTTTTTTTTTTGGTACTGGAGGTCAAACTCAGGACCTCATGCTTGCGAGGCAGGCAGTGGAACCACTGAGCTACATCCCTGGCCCTCTTTCTCTTCTTATACACGATTTTATGTACAAATAGTTGTCTTTTAGGTAACAACAATAAAGTCAACGCGATGTGGCTGAATTTGAAGAGTAAATAATATAGCAGTGCAACACGTAATGACCAGGAGTGTTTGTTTTCTTATTTTGGGGAACAAGTGAGAACGTCTTCGTTTGTGTTACTGGAGCTGGACCTCGTCAACATCTGGCACAGTGTTAGACTGTCATTAAATTGCTCTGGCTGGGACACTTCAAGGCAAAACAGTTCTACTTTTCATTCTTTCTTTTTGTGGTAGTGAGAATTGAAGTCTGGATTTCTTGAGTTGCATCCCTGGCCCTTTGTATTATTTAGCTCTAATTTTAGTTTTTGCCGTGCTGGGATAGAACCTCCTACTGTACCTCGGAGCTACCTCCTTAGTCCCTTTTTAGCTTTACTTTGATTTTTTTTTTTTTTTTTTGAGACAGGGTCTCACTACAGAGTTCAGGCTGGTCTTGAACTCATTATGTAGCTAGGCTGGCCTTGAATCACAGAGATCCTCTCGCCTCAGCCTACTCAGTGCTGGGATTACAGATATGCACCATTATACCTAGCTTTAGCTTTAGTTTGAGACAGGTTATTGCTAAATTATCCAGGCTGTCCTTGGACTTTTCATCCTCTTGCCTCAGCCACATGAGAAGCTGGGATTATAGGTGTGTTTGTACCACCATACCTGGCCTACGAACATATGTTTAAAAATGTAACTCGCAGTACTGTCTGGAAGGCCCAGCTGTGCTCACGTTTTGGCGAGATGATAAGGGATATTTATACAGTCTCACGGGATCAGACGTGTAAGTGTCCCACTGGCTGTGTGTCAGATCACAGCTGGAAGGACCCAGGATGGGCCGTCCGTATGCTAGCAAGCTGGAGGATCCAGTAGTAGTCAAACGCTGAAGGCCCAGAAGCTCACTCGAGGGTCAACGGTGTGAGTTGATGTCCAAAGGCCCAAGAGTCTGTGTTGGGAGCCTAAAGGAACTGGAGACCAACATCTGAAGGCAGTGGTGAGGACTGGAGCTCCTTCTTTCTCCCTTCATTCTATCCGGGCTCCAAGCCTATTAGTTAGTGCCACCCACGTCTGGGGTGGGTTTTGCCCCTCAGTTTGCTGGCCTACCTGTCAATCATCCACACACACACACACACACACACACACACACACACACACACACGTATCTGTTAGGCTGATTGTTCACAAGTCGACGTATCACAATTGAAGATCACATGGTCCCAATAATTATTTTTGTCCCCAACTCCTGAAACAGCTCCTAACACCCTTAGAATTTTCTGATAGTGGTGAAAGAAGGGCATTTTGTTATTCATAACATGTGCCTTTCAACCCCTTCTGAGTTTACCTTAGTGAAGTGACTTTCCGAAAGCTCCTAGGTAGCTTCAGGATGGGGAAGGTTGTCAAGAGAAATACCTTTGCGATTAGAGGGTTGGAACTGAGGAAGGGCTCTATGGCTGGAGGTTGAGGTAATTAAGTAGCATGAGCCAGTGATTTCATCAAACATGTCTATACACTTCCAAAAAAAAAAACAAAAAAAACAAAACCTGGTTTCAAGGACCTTCTGGGCTGACAGACAGGAATACAGCCAGCTATGGGGACAGATTGCGTGGTGCTTGAGACTCTTCGAGACCTTAGTCTATGTACACCTTCATCGCGCTATGCATTTGTACCCCTTACAGCCTCTTTTATAATGAACTGGCTCTCAAGCAATGCATTCTCCTGTGTTTTGTAGGTCATCCCAGCAAATGATCCCAGCTGAGGAGGGGTGGTGGACAAGCTGAGGACTTGCCTCATGCTTGGTGCCTGCGGTGGTGGGGGCAGACTTTTAGGACCGAGTCCTCACCCTTGTGGACTCCACGACTGTCTTAATTGAATTAAAGTACAGGATACTCCATTGATGTATGCAGAGAATTGGAGAATTGGTGCAGAAAACCTTGCACATTTGTCCTCAAGGGCTCTAGTGATACTTTGAGAGTAAGAAAAGGTGCTCCATTTAGTTAGTACATTACAAAGTCCTTTCAGCCTTCCATTAAGCCACTGTCCTACCATTTTTTTTTTGAGACATGGTTTCATTGTATAGTTTAGGCTGGCTATGGGCTTACTATGATTCTCCTGCCTCTGCCTTCCAAGCGCTGGAATTACAAGTGTGTACCTTTTGCCTTTCTTGGTGTGCAGTGAACTTTTCCTAGTGAACAGTAAGCATACTATTTTTCAGACTTTTGTGAACCAGCCTTACCATGATACCACTTCCATTATTGATTGATTTAATTACTTGATTTCTATATTTTTAGACTCATCTAAGTCATTTCTGACTGTGAGAGCTATGTGGTATTTTTTTCATTTTCAAAAGTTTGATTTTATAAACATTCTTCATATTAGGTATAAGGAGAAAATTTTGTTTTAATTTTTAAAGTATTTAAAAAACATATACATTTTTTTTGCATGGTGGGACGCAGGGTTTCACTGTGTTACCCAGGCTGGTCTTGAGCTCGGGGGCTCAAGTGATTCTCCTCCCATAGTCTCCTCAGTGCTGGGACTACAGGCATGGCCGTCATGCCCAGCTTAGAAAATATTTAGACTAGCAGCTAACAATTCTATTTTATTAACTTGATAAATAGGTAACATTGAAATGCAGATTATAATGTACCTCACCTTCCCTTGCAAAATTAATGA